GGAGACTATATTGTTATTTATTTTAAAACAATGAGTGACAAATTCACACATACAGATGACATCATGACTTTATTTTTAGGTTTCTTGGATATTATGTCCTTTATAAAACTCAACACGAATTCAAAAAGATCTGTAGAAAGTCTAAAATACTCCCTAAATTTGGTTTCATTTCCAAGAAGCCTCCGCTGCACAGTGATATTAAAGGCACCTTCTGTATCGCGACACAAAAACGACTCATCCACTGGCTTATTGGAAATTTTGACGGTTGCAATTGCCAGTTCCTCTTGTTCTTCCTCTTCCAACAATAATAACAACGCAAACAATTTATTTGCATCCATTTTGGTACCTTTCGTTTACATTCATAATACATAAACAGCACGTACAGACATAGAGAAATTATCATTTTCTATATTTTTTAACAAACCACCTTGGGCGAAAATTGCTGTCCTCAGCGGTCGACGGACTGTCCGCTCACCGCGACGAAATGTTCAAAGAAACCAAGGCTTTAGGTGGATGAATGACATTTCGACTAACATAAAGTTAAAAAGAATTATTATTATTCTCAATCTTTTTTATTAATTTACATTTTTTAAATGTCATTGTAATACTTTTAAATTCAGTGTTACTAAATACCGATATTTTGACATTAGATACACTTGATTGCTTTATAGTTTATTGTCACTTAGCCATTTAAATCTTTTTGCTTAAAATGTATATACATGTCCAGATTTTAATAATTTTTCACATTTTATGTCATTTTGACCATGTACATGATTGTTTGTTACGGGCCGGTATCTATATTTAACTATATATATATTTTTTTTAATATGCTTTATTATTTACTTGCATTGTTTACCCCATTTAATTCTAAAATTAAACACTAGAGAGGGCTAACTTCGGCAGTTGTGCTGCCTCTATATTTAAAATGAGATTGGAGATTAAAACATGGTTGGTATAAAAAATTGCTAACTTAAATGTAGTTTGTCCACTACTTTATTATAAAGCTCTAATATTGGTCACAATAGCCCTAGCATTATTTATGTTTGAAGGTCGAATCGACGCATACTTTAAAAAATCTTTTTGGCCGTAATTTTTGAAAAAAATCGTAATCCATACTCTTTTCTAAATAGAGATTTTTTTTATAAGTGATTTTCAAATAATCACTAGGCAGATATATTTCCTTGTTTTTTAGTTTTTGTGTTATTGAAACGTCATACTTATCTGATAAATAAAGAGGGGCACTGGCGAGCAGATTATTCCTATTTTGAGCCGTACAGCCATCAGAATAAATAATGATAGGTCTTTTGGCCTCTTGAGTTAGGTCTTGCGCTTCTAAATAGTTAACTAAAAAGGAAGCATAAACAGATGCCTGTCCATCGGCAACAGTTTCATTAAACCAATAACATACGGCTTGGTTGTTGACTAAATTGTAAATCGTGAAGTTGTGACAACACAATTTTTGTTTATAGTACAACGTGCTAGCTGGTATTTGTGTAGACAGCTTCACAGCCTGTTAATCCATGGTTGTCATGTGAAACTCGCCATTTATCGCCTTCTCCTTATCTGTTTTCTTTTCCCGCCTTGCTGATATTTTCTCTCAATGTGTTCCTTATATTCTTCTGCTTCTATATTGTCGTTCTTATACTTAAAACAAACGTCACATTGGTGTTTTCTCGTTCGGAATATGGAGATTTTCATTTGGTCTGCAAGTTTAATTATAGTGATAACTGACATTGGATTTTGCTCATCTTCTTGGCATTGCCGCTTGTAGACTTGCTATAAATCCGACCATGACTGAGAAGATTGCTCCAAGTACATTCATTCTATTGGTGTCTTTTCGACAATAATGTGAAGAAGGTTGTTAAAATTTTGAAGAATATCAGTAAGAAATCTTCTGTCATATACAAAAATATCTTGTTGTTTTTCTCTCCTGCTTATTTCGGTTTGATTGCTACTTGCCATACCATTTCCAGACTTCATTGCCCAGAACCGTACAGACCATTCTCCGAGGCTAAGAGTATTTAGGTACATTTTCTTACAGTCATGGATTTATTACTAACAATATAAATAATTTAGTGTTTGGAATCTACGAGAGATGTCAATTTTTTTGATGGCATCTTTGTATTACATACTGTGATGTTTATTTATATTAAACAACAGTGTATTTATTAATATTTATTTAAACACTTATTTATTTTATAACACAACTATTCTAATTTATACACTGTGTCCCAGATTGGTGCTGCATGTATTGATATCTCTGTTATTACAAGAGCTACACAATCAGTTAAATGGGCAATGTTTCTCAGGATTCTATTACCATTTCAGAACTGCTATTACATTTTGTCAGTTATTTTTGGTTTTTGAATAAATCGCGAAAAACCAAAATGGTGGGTTTCTGACAGTCCTCCGTATCTCGAATATTTGAGAACATACGCTACTTTGGTCTAGACATTATATGGGCACTTTTTTAAGGTCTTTACAGTAAAAAACAAAACAAAAGAATTTGTCCTTCCGTTTTCGAGATATTGACTATAACTTTGTTTTTTCTTATGGACGCCATATTGGATTTTTATTGCATTAAATAGAATTGTCAATTCCCTTTTCCAAAATGTATCACAACATGGTACTTTCTTTCAAATGAATGCTGAAATAAATAAATCTAAAAATTTCCTAATTAATTTTGCTGCTCTGCTCAATTTGGTCTAGTAGGCGAGCCAAAAATATGTTTTATAACTGTAAAATTATAGTTGGTTTAACATTAGATTTTATTCGTTCATTTTAAATTCGTTAATTGTTTTTTTTTTTGTTAAATTTAATTTCCGTTACGTTGTTATTTTTTTCAATATATCAATAAAGAAAAAATAGACATGTTAGAAACGTACTTCGTAGCCCACAGAAACTCTATAGCGGCTGCAGAAATTTATCAAAATAAATTTTCTGAACGGCATCAACCAAACGCAAGACATTTTAGGGATCTGGTAATAAATTTGCTAAATTATGGAAGTTTTGAAAGACTCAGAAATCATAAATATGCTATTTAAAATAAGGAGAGAATTGATGCTGTATTACAATACATAAATAATAATCCCACAGCATCGGTTAGAAAAATTGGTAATGAAACGGATATCCCTAAGTCATCTGCTGATCGAATAATGGACGTTAATAAATATCATCCATACAAACTTAGGATTGTACAAGGTTTATCGGCAAATGATTTTCCTCGAAGAGTAAGATTTTGTGAATGGTACATTCAACATATTATGCGAAAAAATACCAATTTTTCCATGAACATATTATGGACTGACGAAACTCGATTTACCAATTGCGGTGTTTTCAACAGGCATAATACCCATCACTGGGCTATAGAAAACCCAAAACAAACCTCACAAAGAAGATTCCAAACAAAATTTGGATTTAATGTTTGGTGCGGCATAATAGGCAAGTATAAAATGAGATTTACGTTTAAATATAAAATTATTGAAATTCTTACTTTCAGGAAATCAATTAATTGGACCAATAATTTTTAATTTCAATTTAAATGCAGCACGATATCTTCAGCTCTTACAAGAACAAATAATGCCCGCTATGAGGGCATCTGTGCGGAACTTGGATCAAATTTGGTATATGTACGATGGTTGTCCAGCTCATAATGCTGCCGTCGTAAAGAATTATTTGGAAGAAAACTTCCCCAATAGATTAATTGCGAATAATGGCGACATTTTGTGGCCTGCTAGATCCCCTGATATAAATCCCCCTGACATCTTCTTATGGGGACACATTAAAAACGAAACTCTCATTTGAAGCTCCCGAAAATATTGCAATTTTAGAAGAAAGAGCTCGAAACGCTATGGGTTCAGTTAATAGAAACACGTTATTAAGGGCAATAAACTCTCTTCAAAATCGTTGTCAAATGTGTTGTGATCAAAATGGTGGCCACATAGAACAATTTATTTAAATTAGACAGTTTATATCTGAAGGTTGTATTGTAAATTGTCCCAAAAATTATCGCAAAATCCTTGTTTTTATAAAGTTTCTAAAACATATTGTTGGCTCGCCTACTAGACCAAATTGAGCAGAGCAGCAAAATTATTTAGGAAATTTTCAGATTTGTTTATTTCAGCATTCATTTGAAAGAAAGTACCATGTTGTGATACATTTTGGAAAAGGGAATTGACAATTCTATTTAATGCAATAAAAATCCAATATGGCGTCCATAAGAAAAAACAAAGTTATAGTCAATATCTCAAAAACGGAAGGAGATATTCTTTTTTATTGTAAAGACCTTAAAAAAGTGCCCATAGAATGTCCAGACCAAAATACTGTATGTTTTCAAATAATCGAGATACGGAGGACTGTCAAAAACCCACCATTTTGGTTTTTCGTGATTTATTCAAAAACCAAAAATAACTGACAACATGTAATAGCAGTTCTGAAATGGTAATAGAATCCTGAGAAATATTGCCCATTTAACCGATTTTGTAGCTCTTATAATAACCGAGATAGCAATACATGCAGCACCAATTTGGGACATAGTGTATATACTTCGAATGTCTTTAAACTGATTACTATTTATATTCACCACTGTCTATCTACTAATTACTATTTGTCTTTACTGTCCATATAATAACTGATTGATCTCTGTTATTCCACCAATATTTATATACAAATTTCTAAAATTTGGTGGAGTCGAGAAGCTTCTCCATCAAACTAGAAATATTTGGAACAGTCCAGAAATATTATCTCGTCCTTTCTCGAATATTCATCGAAATCACCTCCGCCATAGTCGTCCCATAGGATTGGTCTTAAGGGGTTTAATTATGTATAATAATCGGACAAGTTGAGTCTCAAAGGCCAAATAAGACAGAGAGGGACTTGTAAGGTTAGAGCATGACTGAATAATGAAATGGCTCACATAACAATACTTTGACGATATTTCCAACAAAAACTTTTTGCTGCTCCCAAGTCATATTTTCCCAGAACTTTTTGAATAGCTTTTCTCAATCCATGTTTGAAATTAGAAAACCTTTTCTTGTAACACCATTCACCTTCTTTTTATTTGAAAAGTTATATCTTTCTTTTATTTTTCTTTCATTACGTTTTTTATTTTGTAAAGAATTTTTTTGATTTTTGTACTTTGTGAATCCCAAGTAGCTTTTCCCCGTCAGTCTTAGTGTTTTATTAATAGTCCTTTTATTGTACCCTTTACGCTTTCTATTTATATGTTCACTTGCAGGTTGATCATCTAAATCGCTATCCTCTTCTGATACTTGCCCTTGCGGTTCTTGATCTGAATAATTATGTTCGACTATGCTTTCTACAGCTGAGTCAGCGTTGTTGCATTCCATAGTGGCGTCGTAATTGGGATCAGAAAGGTTTTCTTCGGGTATTATCGTGAGAGAATTTGTAAAGCTTTGATCTAAACTGGCTTCTACATTGTTTATTTCAAAGGTAGGATATGATATTGTAGATTCCATAACTTCCAAATTCGCAATTTGTTCAGTAGAACTCTTAAGAATTCCTGACCATGAACTACGTTCGAATACGACCTCCGTGTTACTGATTATTTCAGAAATATCCTCAGGGCTCAGAAGCTGTTCCAAGTTAAGCTCGAGAAAATACTTATTGTTAAGATCACTTATATTTTTCAAATTCAGGTCATTTTCTTGTTCATGATTTTCGTTTACGGTTTCTGATTTATTTGAGTGTAGCATTTTAGCCATTGCGACTATCTTTATTGCTTGGTTGGACATTATTATATTAATAGTTTTATACAGTACTTCGTAAGTGCTAATTCTATTTGAATTTTCAAAAATGCAGTAAGAAATATCTATTGTAGAATAAATGAAACAAAAATGTCTAATACAACTCTTTTAAAAGTAATATAAAATTATAGTTATTTCAAACATCTTACCAGCAAAAACATGAAGCCGACTGACAGATACGAGGTAATGCTTTCAAAATTGGTGCGAATGTAAATACGAGGTTATGAATTTCGAGATTTACCGCTAAGACTAGAGATAAGGAGGCGAATCGGCAATGGTCAAATTTCAAATTTCCGTCCTTCTTTTTATAAAGTTCGTGAAATTGACTGTAGTTGGTATGTCGAATAACAGCGGTGTCAATTTTATATGTAAGTCAATGTAAAATAAAGTGATTTTTTAAAAAATTGGTGAAAAGAATCAAAAAAATGTGAAAAAAAGGTACCTGAGTACAAGTAACATGAGTGACAAAAAACATCAAAGCAAGATTTACGTCGTTCCAGGTTGTAAAATAGGATTCAAATCAAATGGAAAACTAAAGAAAACACAAGGAGAAATCAATTCAATGTCTTTTTAAAGCTTCTAATGTAAGTAAAATAATGTATTTATGTCTAAATATATTTATTGTAAACAAGTCACAATATGCATCTTATGGAGTGTAGTTTATTTTATTACAAGTTTCTTTAATATAAAATTTTACAATCAACAATAATTATAGGTACATTAAATTTAACTTACTAGAAAATAAAATTTATTTTTATAGAGTTTTAATGTTAGATAAAGAGTTGCTACTGTTATTTTTTTGTTGAACCCCAATTGTGTGATTGTAAATGTTTTTTATAGGATACTAAACGCTTAGAACAGTGGCAGCATATACAGGGTGGACCAATCTTGTGGAAAAGTTCGATATCTTCCTTGTTGAAAGAGATATTAAAAAATGTATTAAGAAAATTATGGACAGGTTTGAGGTTAACATTTTAAAATTATTGGGAGGTATACAGGGTGTTGCATAGCTCGTGTCAAACATATGTTTTTTTAATGATAACCCCAGTATATTGTTTTAGATTCTGTTTACTCATCTTTTTTTTATTCTTCTAATATATGGTTTGTCTATGTTATATAGGGTATTTTTCAAGGAATTGACATTTTTGTGAGAGAATCGTACATAATTCAACGTCCAGCAGCCAATTACACACTGTAGAAAAAAATTTTTTTGTACCCACACGAATTTTATAATATGATGTATTATACTTTTTTTTAGTTATATTTTTATTATCTGTTTATTCGTATACAGGGAAGACTTGTTTTATTTAAATGGGACACCTTATATTTTATATCACCAGTAAAATCATCTGTCCCAAGCCTTTCATTTTTATTAAGCATTCCCTATACCTAAAGTTAGTAATTATAGATATTTTGAACATTAAATGAAAATTATGGTTATTTCGATAAATTAAACTAGTTTTTCATAAAAAAACTCTTATCAACCGTTATAAATAATATGTGTGAATACAAAAAAACTCAAAAACAAACAAAACAATTAAAACATAATTATAAAAGTTGTTCAAAGTGACCTCCCATAACATCAATACAGTTTTGTATTCGAATTTCGAATGACTGACTCACATTTCTCAGCATTTGAACATCAATACATTTCTGATTCGAGTTTTCATGTCCTCTTCTGTCGATGCAGGCACATTATATACTTTGTTTTTTACATAACCCCACAGTAAAAAAATAAATTTTTATCAAATCCGGTGATCGCGCTGGCCACCCTATCGGTCCTCCTCTTCCGATCCACCGTCTTGGAAAGTGATTATTTAAATAATTATGAATTACTACAGTGGGATGGACTGGTGCACCATCGTGCAAAAACCACATTTGTTGGCGAATGTGAAGGGGAACATCTTCGAGTAACGTAGGCAAATGATTTTCAAGGATATCCAAATATACTGCACTATTTACTCGTCCTTCAAAAAAGTGTGGCCCTATCACATAATCACCCATAATGCCACCCCAAACATTTAATGACCACTTCATTTGGCTATGAGTGACTATAATGTGTGGGTTTGTTGTAGAATAATAGTGAAAATTATGCCTATTTAAACCTACATTTTTATGAAAAGTCGATTCATCACCAAAGAGCACAAAATCAAAGAAATTTCTTTGTTGGTTAATTTTTTGTTGGGACCATTCACAAAATATCACTCTATTTTCAAAATCCCGTTCAAGAAGTTTTTGATGTAACAATGATGCATTTTATGTTTTGATAGGATTCTTTGAACAGTTCCGTAACTGACTTGTCTTGAAATATTTCGTTTACTAATATGCGGATCATCATAAATACTCAACAATACTTTCATTTCATTCTCTTCCGTGTTAGCAAATTTTGTTACTTGTTTTTGCTCGTATGAGTAGTATATTTGCTCGTAGTTTTTCAAATGCCTTTTTATTTGGTTTCCGGCGTTCCGGATATCGTTGGTGGTACACTCTGGAGGCAAGTAAAGAATTCTTGTTGCACTCACCTAGTATATAAATCATATCCACCATTTCTGGGATAGAAAAATTCGTATTGTTCATCTTATTATTAGTAATTTACTTAAAACATTAATACACCGGCAGTTGCTCTTGATTTTTAAAATGTCAAAATTGTCAACTGGACGGGGACAGGTATATTAAATGCATTGGCGACTAGATAAAAAATAACACATATTATTTATTATTGTTTATAAAGAGTATTTTATGAAAAACTAGTTTAATTTATCGAAATAACCATAATTTTCATTTATTGTTAAAAAATATCGATAAATATTAACTTTAGGTATAGGGAATGCTTTATAAAAATAGAAAGACTTGGAACGGATGATTTTACTGGTGATATAAAATATAGGGTGTCCCATTTAAATAAAACAAGAAAATCAAGGGTATGATTATTGAGTCTCCCTGTATACGAATAAACAGATAATAAAAATATAACTAAAAAAAGTATAATACATCATATTATAAAATTCGTGTGGGTAAAATAGTATATTATGCAACGAGCACGAAATGAAGCATATTTTGCACGAGTATGAAAGTTTGAAACACGAGCCGTAGGCGAGTGTTGCAAATCATACGAGTGCAAAATAGCTATTTCGTGCGAGTTGCATACTATACTTTTTCTACGACTGCTTTCTATTACATAAACAAACACAAATCGAATAAAAGATTTATTTTATTAACTGGAATAGATTACACTGCAAATAACAAATTGTGGATAAATAAACTCGATTGAAAGTGAAAAACTGGTTAAGCCATACCCCAACCTATTTATAAAAATTAAACGTACAATTATTAAAAACCATTTTTGGGGAGGTAGTAGTGATATTATGTTCAATATTTACATTTTCTTGAATTTGGCAATTTTCTGCAGTTGTAGTAGATGTGTTTCCCGTTTCTGAAGTTATATTTTTTATCTTATTAGAAATTATGTTGGCTATATCAATCTTATTTGTTAAGGATTCATCTATATAGCTTTCAGCAACAGCTGTAGACTTCCAGCCGCCATGACGCTTTAACGTGGTTATGTCACCACCAGCATCAACTAAAATTGTTGCCGAAGAACGGCGGAAGCAGTGACCTGTATGTAACTCAGGATTTGGCAATTTCAAATACTTGGCATTACCTTTTCCCATTGCCCCAATTTTATTTAACCCTATTCTTTGAACGGTGCATTTACCTTTTTGGTAATTTATAAAAAAACCAGGGATCATTAACATGAGGAGGGCGAAGGTCGGCATATTTTTTAAAAATTTTATAATATTGACCAATTATAGTGAACTTTCGAACAATTTTGGTTTTAGTGTCTGGTACCGTCACCAAAACTGCTTCATTCAAATCATTACAATTTGAAATTTTCATCTGATGTAATTCATGTCGTCTGCATGCACCCATTACACCCATAATTAACGCAACCTACAATAAAAATTCACAAATTTAAAATACTTTGCATTACACAAATATAAAAAAATAACGTATTTTAAATATAAATAACCTACTTTTGTTACTAAATATAACTCATCGGGAGCTTCTTTTATAAATTTTTCGATTTCATTTGACGTAAAAGTCTTCGACTTTTTCGGTTTGTATCCGTCTGACTGCCGCTTGAGAAATGCTTTCAATTTCAAATATTTGCTAATATCTATATTATTATTAATGCTGATAGTCGTTCTTAACATCGAATATTGTGTCCAAAGCGTAGAACTTTTCATTTTTTTCGCCAATTCGGCAAAATAAGCCACTAAAACGTTCTCTGAAAATGAGTTTGCGTTCTCACCTTTTTTCCAATTCATGAAGAGGGCATAAGATCGTTGATATAATTTTTTTGATGTTGGTGGCAACAAATTTAAAGTTGTTACTTTTGCAGCTTCCTTTATGTTTGGAGGTGTTAATTCTATATCACTATCACTGTCCATTTTATTAATTTATTTCATAAAAAAAGATAATTATCGTAAGTTCTGTTAATATTAATTATACTGACAGTAACGTCAAAATGATATTATAGCCGCCTTAGTTTTTGATCTACTAAATTAAAATTTCATTTCACACGCGTTGCTGGGCAACCCGTGCAATATGAAATGTTGTGTAAAATGTGTATGATATAAGTTCCAATAGCCTAATCAAAATGATGATTTATCATTGCAGCCGTAGAAAAAAAATTTTTTTTCTACAGTGTGTAATTGGCTGCTGGACGTTGAATTATGTACGATTCTCTCACAAAAATGTCAATTCCTTGAAAAGTACCCTATATAACATAGACAAACCATATATTAGAAGAATGGAAAAAAGTGAGTAAACAGAATCTAAAATAATATACTGGGGTTATCATTAAAAAAAACATATGTTTAGTTCGAACACGAGATATGCAACACCCTGTATACCTCCCAATAATTTTAAAATGTTAACCTCAAACATGTCCATAA